AACCCAGGTTCGAATCCTGGTCACGGCACAAAATCTTTTTGCAGAAAATCGCGAAAAACCGACAAGGAAAAACCATGGACCACAAGATCTCATGGTGGGAACAACAATAACAATAAAACATTATCATCGTAACTGAGCAGTGGGAAACGTATATTGGTTCACGTATTCCATTCTTCGCCGAAGACATGGTTGTGGAATTGTGCTGACGTACAATACATTTTTTTATTGACTATAAATCGCTATTTATTACTCTAAATTCTAAAAAAAGTAGACACATATACGTAAGTATGTGTGTTTTTTTTGTCACACTACAATTATTTATTTTTGATTTCCTCATTACAATTTCAATACTGTACATTATAGAAAGACTATATACCATATGACATATACCTATCTATACAATACCATCGTGATAATAATAGAGCTAAACATATGATTGTAATTAAAATTCACTAAAATTTTCAGAAAAAACTGAACATGGTTAAAAAATAAGTTCAATTTTTATATTTTGCTCAGTAAAATATTACTTTATACCTGATTTTTGAGTTCATACATATTTATATATCAATAATAACAATCAGTGAGAATTGAAGTCTCTAGAAAAATACTATTAAAGAAATTGCTTTTGTTAGTTCCATAATTTATTTCTCAATTATTTTCAGTAGCTTTTAAATCTTATCCAGATTAGCTAGATTTACTAGGTAGTAAAAAAACCTGACTACCCGTCTGAAAAATAGCGGCTTAAAAAACCCATTACAAAACCTTAACATTCCATGCTCCACTTACAGAATCTAAAATATGTTAAGAGAGTTTGTAAAAAAGTTCAGAGTTCCTATAATAGAGATAATACGCCTTGTTAATTTTTAATTAGTAACCGGTATCCTACTTTGTGTCGTAAATAGGAATGCTATAATTGTTATGTATATATAAAAAAAAAAATGATATTCACTTAACAATGAATTGAGATAGCGTTTTTTATAAAATATAAATAAATTGTTATAAATATTATAATTATTATCATGTTATATTTTTATGCATTACAAGGATCAATAACATAGGTAATACACTATTATCATATTCATATATACGTTAAAGTGAGTACATAATTTGCATTGTTCTTACCAACAGCCGTTATTAGGTAAGACTATCATATTTTAATATACGTAAACCTATATTTAAGATCATATATATTTTTCACTTAAAAAGATGTATACTAAATTGTACCATTTATAATGTACATAGTTTTCAAGGCATTAATTTGCATATCGCCCTGTGTATATTAAATTGCACATTTTGTCATTTTTAAGTGCATGCTTGCATAAAAAGCGCTGAGAGTTCATAGACCTCATTTATTACTACTCGTTTGTAATAATTTATATAAAAAAAAAAAAATAAATCTATTAAAAAATAATGATAAAAATGCGTTAATGTATGTATATTGTAGGTACCTATATGATATTATTAAATGACAGGTTTATGATAATATCATTTTCATTTATATTTATTTTAAAATTTTATGACGAGTTTTATTTTTTAAATTATTATTTTATTTTTGATGTATTATGACTTATGAGATTAATTATTGAGTAAAATAAAAATGATTTATATTCACTTTTAAAACTGTAAGATATTTTTGAACAAAAAATCATTTCATTTGATCTTATTATTTTGAACAATTTATAATTATAAATTTGACAACGTTAAGGCCTATTTAAAACGGTCATTGAATTGCATTTGACGGATTCTCTCATTATTTGACAAATATGATACGTGATTGTATTCCCAAAGATAAATCGTTGAAGATTGGATTCTAATCTTTTAATCACTAAGTTGTACCTAGGTACATAAGCATAATATCTACGCAATATTTAAATTTTGAAAATGTACAAAATCTATTGAAATTCTTAGGCCTAACCCTATAAAAATATGCATAATTTGTTTAACTTATACAATATATATGCTTGTTTAATATAAATATAAATGATAAATACCGGTTTCTTACGACTATTATGAATTATAATTTTTTTATTTCTGTATACTATTACCATATATTATATACATATAGTAATATATTGTATTGTGATCAAACAGCAATAAGAAGCTATACTAACTTCTTCGTAAAATCAGCGTAATAAATATTTATATACTAAATATACTATAATATGCATAACAATATAAAATCAACTATGTTATTTCCATATAGGTAGGCGTAGCCTGCAGTTACCAATAAAGTGATCAAAGAAATTTTAAATTTGCAAGGTATATCTATTTTTGTGAGTTTTTAAAACTTATAAGCTTACTCAAATCGACTTTTTCAAGTTTATCAATCAAATTGTAACTATATCCCTTAATGATAATATGTGTATGTCCGTCAATCATAATTCACGATAATATTGTATACACAGATAGGCTTACAGTTATACAATATTATGTTATATGAGTATGATATATTATATTATTTAGTCTTAAATTGAATGTAAGTTAGCACAAATTACTAAAAAAATACCTATTCAGATAAAAATTTATTAAAATTTAATTTTCCTCGAAAGCTTAAAAGTTGAAAAAGATTATAGTTCATAATTTATATTATTAACAATAATATTTGTCTGTGTTATATTGATTTATCATTTATCTTAAAACGACAAAATACTAATTCGTGGTAAGCGTACCTATATTTTATTTATAGTAAATATTAATAGTACGTACGTATACATTATGATTAATGATTAAATAAATATAAGATAAATTATACTAGGGTAGGTAGTATATTATAATATTTTATAACTATTCACAAAATGCACGTTCAAGCACAAAAAAAATATATTTAAACAATTTATTATTGAATATAGATACTTAAATACCTGGTACTAACCAATAAATAGATATTATAATTAATTTATCGTCCTTCATTAATTATCAGTTTTTATTTATTTTTACTGATATTATAGGTAAGAGCAGATTAATTCCACTTAGTAAGAAGTAATAATTTAATAAGTAATAACTGTAATATCTACTTATGAGAGGTAATAAGGTACCTATATGAGTAATGAATAATAATAAAAATCAAAATTGACACAATATTATTAAATTTTTTATATTGGTAATTAGGTAGTGTTTAATTCCAGTTAAATTTTTCTTTTTTTTTTTTTTCAAAAAGCTTTGCCTTGTTACTTCAACTTTTCTATTCGTTTATCTATTTATCTTTTCATTTCTTCTTATAACTGTTATTTATGAAGATCACGATTATTTTAATGTCCTTTTAACGTATGATGATATTTTCTATGTCGATTAAAACAATTAATAATTTACATTACTTCCTGTATAACAATATCTATTTACTTATAATATTTATTAGTTGTTATATGCCTAGTATGATTGTACATTTGTGCGTTCCGTTAAAATTATTTTACTGTAATGATCACCATGCCGCCGACAGCGCGCTCCTTAAATATCCCGATTACGGGACATATTTCCACCCGGCCGTGATCGTCTAGTGGTTAGGACCTTGCGTTGTGGCCGCAATAACCCAGGTTCGAATCCTGGTCACGGCACAGAATCTTTTTGCAGAAAATCCCGGAAAAATAAATGGAAATTATTATTGAACTCGTATTATACACCGCCACATCGGCTTCGTTACTACCAAAATACCATTGTTGCAGCATTACGGTTTTTCCGACAGTCACGCTGCTCGTTTTTCACGTACACGTATAAAATAGTTAACTGCCACAAAACTATTATAATACTCGTACATTCTTATAATTGTGTATATTAAATTATTTCTACAGTCGATAACAGCTTTAATTGATTTTTTTTTTTTTATATAGGTACTGTATTCAATTAGCACGTAGATAAGATGTAAAACGTTTTGATTGCTATTTTTCAACGATTACCTAAGACTTGCTCGGAAAAAAAATATATGTATATAAATAATTACTAAAAAAAAACTTATTATCATAATAAAAATAAAACTACAAGTATAAATATCGTCCAAATCGTGCGTGATGAATTTAATTATCTCAATTTATATTATAAATAAATAATAATTTTATGAATCAAGTTAATTTGTTATTATAGATTAAAATATTATAATTTATAATAGAACTCAATAAGACTTCTATATTGAAATAAAACATTTGTTGTTACACACACATTTTTAAATTTTATCATTTAATATATTTTAAATTTAAATTTATATTATTATTATAATATTGACTCAAAAAAATAAAATAACAATTTGAGTATAATCAAATTGACTCCTGAATATATACGTAGTTGAAATAGTTGAATAATACACAATTTTTAAATTACTCATCTAAATATTATAGAAGTACGTCACAACTGCATATTGTTTCCATCTTACAAACATTAATTCGTCCAACTTGGCAAATTTGTGTTTAGCAAATTAATTTTGGTAATATTTAAAATTTAATATAATTCTAATTTGGCCTACTATAAAAATTTTAACGTAAAAACATTTTTATTTATTAAGTATCTGTTTTATCTAAATGAGTTATAAAAAATTTTAAATTGTAATATTTAAAATTTAAAAATTGCAAAAACTCATTAGAAACACTGTTAACTGATAATGCTTACACTATCAAGTAAAACAGTAGGTCACTTCATTATAATATTGAAATTTACTACATGTTTACTTATTCAAATTTGGTATGTTATTAAATGTATATAGTCTATTTTTACTATAAAAAATTACCATTAACTTATTAACAATAAAACTATTATACATTATGAATTTTGTAATTTTAAACAGGTATTTTAAAATACATTTGCAGTTTAGTAATTATATTAATATAGTTATAATTTGCAATGTTAAGTTAAATGATACATTTATAATCGATATTTAATAATATGTATGAAAATGTATTAAATTATTTTCTATAATATTTAAATATGTTTTATAGTATACTTTGATGAATTTTTTTTTTTATTTTTCAAAACTAATGAAAACATTTTATTAAAAATAATTAATTTTTTTGTTTCAGTTCAATATAAAGTGAATTGTGACGATGAATACATGACCGTCGATGTTAAGAAAACTGATGATATTAAAAGCATTTATTTGAACCAAATGAAATTTTATCCAGGTAATATAATATTTTTAACCTATTAAAAATAATAAAAGTTGAATTAATGTTAGGTACTTTAGTCTTAATACAATGTACAATATTTAATAAAGCTAATAAAAAAAAAGTTATAATTATAATAATAATAATAACAATAATTATTATCATTTTTATTTAATCTTCAAAAAGATGATAAATGTATTATTAATTATACATTTTAATATATATTATTTAAATCTTGTTGATGAGTTGCATTTTTTTTTTTTTTTTTTTGTGGACAGTATAGATCGCTCATGTATATAAATATGTTGATGGAACATGCGCGGTTAATGCACATTGCACACTGTACATTATACAGCAACTCATTATTATAGATTCATATTACGATAGTATTTTTTAATACAAAATTAACGTTCTTTAAGAATAAGCAAAAAAAAAAAAAAAATGAAAATTTGGTCTACCTTTTGTGACAAGCCATTAAAATACAGTGTATATAATAAATACTTTTTATACAATTTTTTAAACTTTATTTTCCAATTATTTTTTTATCATAATCAGAGCTTGCTTGCCAACCAGTTTTCGAAAAAAACCTCATTCAGTTTAAATTGTCTCTACGAGATGTGTTCAAATGCGGACTAACGAAAGTGACCAATCAAGGAACTGTAAGAGATAGGAACATTTCTTAAATTTTTTAAATATTCTACACGGAAAACTTGACTTTTCAGGGTACAGTTACGTACTATCATCAGATAGTCATAGAGAAAGACGGTAGCAACAACTATGAATACAAATCTTTCATAAATGTAAAGTGTTGGTTTTCCGGAAATAAAAATCACACAGTGGCCAAGAGAAACGTGCTACCAGCCGGATTTCAAGAGCCAGAGTAAGTTTATTGTTGTGTGTGCATGCGTACAAGTTCAGGATTCAATTGAAATCTTTAAATTATTGACAAATTAAAAAATACCATAGATTATACTTATGTATATTAATACTTTGATTAATTTTTAAAATATTAATTATTAGATGGAACGTATAATAATTAATAATAAATGTAGATACAATCGTTATAGTTCGCGGCTTTGATGCAAAACATAGACAATCTTCACTCTTCGGTATTGACCATTTTTTACCTATCTTGATTTACTTTTACTAATATTTATTATCAATATGATTGTTACTTTACAAAGAATTATTTTATTAAAAATTAACTAGATAAAGATCTATAGTAATAGTCTTCAAATTTTATATCACAATATTGTTTATTTTTCCCTTTTTTCGGTACAGTTAGTTTACGATTACGTTACCCGAGACTTGATCTCACCCGACCTGAAATTTAATGAATATAATATAATAAGAGTAGCTGTTGGTATACTAATATATTGCTTATAACTTATTGTTATCTGTTTTCAGTATAGATGTAGCCAGTTTCAAAAATATTTTCAAAATATTCAGTTGTCTGAGATACAACTAAATAAAGTTTCTAAATCGACAATAAAATTAATAACTAATGAATTACAAAGCAATACAATTTAAACGATAGACTTCGATGATTTACTATATACGATCGCACGTGCCCGCTGACGTGTGTAATTTATTTGTTCATATCTATTATTACGTTAATATATTGTATAGACTATAGAGTATAGTCAATCGAGCATGTTATTATATTATTCTCGAAGCGTATAATGTGGTTACCTATAGACTAGGGAGCTAGGCGAGTAAGTTATTTTAAAAAGTTATGAAAACTATCCTTATACCTACTAATAAATTTGTAATGATTGACTAATGACTAAAGATAATATTTAATCACATGAAAATAAAAAAAAAGATTAGCTATAAAAGTAGCAGTATCATTTTTAGGAGTATACAAGAATAGATACCTACTTTATTGACCCACGGTGTTTTAAAAAATATCGTGAATGTTTGATATATAACCAAAGATTTTTATATGGTTATTTGGAAGTATCTATACTCCCCATACATATATGCCCACCACTGGACATTGTGGATCGTTAATAATATAAAAATAATATATATTTATTTATTTTATTATTGTATGTATCGTATTTGATATGCGGTAAAAATCAAAGTAAATTATGTAGGTAATACTCTAATTGCCAATAGGTATAATAACTATTACTATACCTATATAAGCTGCAATTCCGACCATACCTGTTTGATCTTTATTCTCCTCTTGCAATATTAAATGGTAGCACAGTTGTCTACAGCAACTCGTTTTCGATTTCATCGAGTGTATTAATATTATGTATTATTAAACAAAATAAATTATAAAAGTTTAAATTATAATATAACCACAGTAATTATCCATTAATATTTCTATGGGATGACGGTGAGAGAGAAGTAATTAATAAATTGTCAATTTAATTTACAATTTTTTATTTTAAAATAGATGTAACTATACCATAAAAAAATTGAAAACTTTATAAAATATAAGTATGATAATAACCTTCTAAAATATGATTTGGAACTTATTACTGAAAATCTGAATATTTCATTAAAATCTGAAGTTATTTGAATAAAACAGATTATTTATACCAATAATCTAATATTATACGCTATTATATAATCCCATATTTTAGTATTTTATTGTAATAATAATTACTATAATATTATTATGAATTCAAAATTTTTAATTACATGAATCAATGTTATTATCATTAAAGTTCGAAAGCAAATTAAAATATATTTTTAAGTCTTTTGATAAGTTGTCAAATTTAATTCATATAAAAATTAGATATTTTATTGAAAATATGGTTCTTAAATTGTTTTATGTTTGCTGTTACGGAAATTCGAACAATTATTACTATAATTTTCTAAGAGTATATAATGTATAGATACATAGGCGCATAGCCATTATTATATTATAGACTTAAATAATACATATAAATATTTGTGTGTATAATGTATATTATACTGGTTGTATAACCTGCAATTTCGCCGGGAAAAATTAAACATAAAATACAGTGCTATTTCGATGTATATCGGTTTTAATAATAACCGGCAATCGATATTCATTATTCATTACGATTAATTTACCGGGTATCGTATATAATATATTTTATGGCCAACTGCATTACAGGGACTTGGAGATAACTACTTCGTTGACGGAAAACGCGCCGATTCCCATGCTTAAGGTGGGCGTACGCCAGGGCGGTAGTATCGTGAACGGTGAACTCAACGTTAACCCGGGTACTCCGTTGCAAATGGAAATATATCTGGACAAAGATAGTGCCCCAATTTATGGATTGTTGGTAAGTTACATGCAAGTGACGGACACCAAAGCGCAAGAAGAAACTATCATATTCAATGGGTAAGTAGACATCAATTTGGAAAATACGTCAGTATGAAACTACAAATAATGGCAAATTTTAAAATCAGTTAAACCTCTAAATTTTTAGTATGGAAACACACTTACGGAAAATTGTGATTATAATTGTAGTTTTGAAAAATAAATACAAGTTAAACAATTTAAAGTAATCGTTTAGATAGAAAATCGTTTTTTTATTTTTCATTTTCGAATAGATCCTAAGCTAAATTATTTATTTCATATTTTATCAACCCTGATTTACAAGACATAATAATTCATTTAAACAATAAATTTCTATTTTGTGCGTTCTAATTATTTGTTTCACTATACTAAAGTAAAAATATCAAATTTAAATTATTTGTTGGTACTTAAAAATTTGAAATTTTAAAGATGTGATATTAAAATATACCACCGATACAAGTTACAAAATATATCAAGTCCAGTAAATGTAATAATTATACCAAATATTTATAAAAAATAAAAATATGTTATTTTGTGTACTCGTAATATTTATAATATATGATATTGTAAGAGTTGAATACAGCGTCTTCGATCGATCTGCATATTTTTAAATTATATACTAATATATAAATACATTTTTTTTTACTCATAGCTGTTCAGTGGATCCATATTTGTTTGAAAATTTTAATACGGTGGACGGCGATTTCTTGACCGCTAAATTCAGGGCGTTCAAGTTCCCCGAGTCAACATACGTGCAGTTCAAAGGAACCGTTAACGTCTGTTTAGACAAGTGCAGAGGGGTTAGTACCTTCATTACACTTTATTAATGTATATTGTGTATACATACTATTATAATATACAACATTTATACATATATAAATTAAATAATTACATTATATGACGCATCTTGTTTTAATGAACACAACAGACAAACGACGATGACTTTAATATTGTGTCTATATGTTTATATAAAAATAATGAAGTGCACACCACATTTAACTCCTATACATCATACACCAGTATGTTGTTCAGACGTTAAATAAATATCATTTTAAAAAGATAATTGTGTTTTTGTCGTCCATACTTGTATTATTAAACAAAATTTAATTTAATCGTTTAACACAGTTTTATGAGCCAACAGACATTTAAAAAATGTAAAAATATAAACGGTTTTTTTACTGTACATTATAGTATACTCATAAATTTTAACGAACATTTGGTTAAAAATCGGTAGGTTTCAATTTCTAACGATAATTTACTAATAAATAATAATAGTATTAAAACTAATGTTAAATAAATAAATTAAAAAAAACCAAAAGATATTTTTTATGAGATACAATTTTAAATTTAATTTAATTTTCTTTCTTATTTAGTCAAAATATGAATAAAAATATTTATAGATATGAGAATTACATTCCTGAAAAAATCAAGAAATATTTACAACTATATATTTTACTAATTATTTACATTTAGAGCTAAATATTAAAGAGATGAATTCTATTTCTACTCGATGAATTAATGATAAAAACAGTAAGTAAAAAATATAAATGTTTTCTTAGTTTTGTAATATTTCCGAATTTATCTGACTGGCGCTACCCACTCGAGCTTCCGTATTACCATTGAGTATATACTCAATGGTATTACATTAATAAATGCGTACTGCGTCGTAGGTAAATACATTTAATGATAATATTTAAGTACTAACTACACAGACATTAATTGAATAAAATGTTATATTCAAAATAAATAAAAATTGTAATTTACATTACTTGTAAATATTTCATTAGAACACTAATGACATTACAGTTTGTTAAACAGATATCTCATTAAAAACAAATCACGATCTACGAAGTGCGAATAAACAGTAAAACGCATGTACTTATGTCATTAGACTTTAGTAAGGTACACAAATAAAGTTACAACAAATGTAATTTATCAATTCGCATAATATTTTATCTCGTTAGTATTTAAAAATATATTAGGAGTCTACTCTAAATTAGAACATGTTCTTCTATTATTTTATCTCATTATTTTACAATCAAATAAAATGTAAAATAATAATACACTGTTTTAATACATTTTGACAAATCTAAAGATACTTGTATTATTTTATACTTACTGATTCTGTTTTCTACCATCAAAATAAATCTTAAACTTACAAACTATCTTTAAAATACTGGAATATTTTTTTTTGTCTCGGACAATTCAGTAGACGAATGATTCGTTATACTCAATTGCGTCTGTAAAGAAGTAAAACGAGTTTTTCTAATTTATTTTTGATACTACAAAATATTTAATTAAAAGACTAAAGGAAAAATTAACATAAATTGATTCAAAAACCGTTTAAAATGGTTGAGAAATACGCATGGTTTTATATTTTATTTAATCTAAAGACTTTATATTTTTAATATTAAATTGCTTAGCCCATTTGTTTAGGAAAACGTAAATTGTATTTTTAATTTATTTTAAGTTATGACAATTTTGTAAAAACTTATATTCAGTCTTCGTCTGTTACTCGTCGGTCAAATCGATCATATATATATATATATATTATATTTAAATTATAAACTCATATAACTCATAAGTCTTAATAATATTATAATTAATACAATATTATTTTATTCGTAAAAAATATAAAATTATTTTTATTATTTATAAGAATATGCTTTTATGACCTATTTTGCCCAGCATTTATTTTATATAAAACATTGGTTTTAGGTGGATTGCAGCAACGGTAAAGTGGGCTTCGGAAGAAAGAAGCGAGAAATTAGTGGTATTCCACCAGACCCAAATAAGGTGTTTGAAGTATCTATGACCACTTTCATTAAAGTCGATTACAAGAGTGAAATGGCCCGAGAAAAAGGTAAAAATAACATATTTATGTTCATTAGCCCGTAATCCATAGCAGAAAAGTCGAGTAAATATTTTATTATTAAGTATCATGTATAAAATTTAAAACGTTTTGATAATAAAAAGAAACATTAAATAATAACAATTAATAGGTATTTAACATTTATTCGCATCCTTGGTGTACCATGAATTTATTTGATTATCAATTTATACTTAATATCAGATGATATTAAGAAAATTAAAATATTATAATTTTCTAATTCTGCTGGAATAATTGAAATAAATAAGATAAATAATTAATTTCTTCGATGGTTATAAATATAATAATCAGAAAATGAAAAAAAATCTTGCTTTCAATATTTTAAATTTAAATGATAAAAATTAAATATTAACAACATTTATGACTACCTACTGTGTAATATCAGAACCGTTATAAGTATCAGTTCATATTTAAATTTTTAATATTTTAATTTAGTTTTTTCACTGAGTAGACTATACTTTTAATACAAGACATGTAAGCATTGAACGATAAAATTGCCTATACATCGCCCCTTAAAATTAACGCGTTTACTGATGTCTTTAACAACTAAAAACGTCACTCCAATTAGGTACGATTACAGCAAATAATAATAAAAAAGGATTGTTAATAAACAAAACATTTTATAGCACATAATTATAAGATAAAAAAAAGGAGGAAAAGTAGAAAATCGCTTTGATGTATAGTAAGTGTCTAGTATTCCTCATCACTGTTCAATGTATGTGTTAAATTTGAATTCGTCGATAAATCATTGTAAAACAATTCTGAGCAAAAACTAAACTGATTCTGTCAGTTAGCTTAAATTATTAAGTATATTTGATGATATATATATATTTTTCATATTTTTATTAAAATAATTTATTTTACTATTAATATTACAATTTACAATCGGTTGATTCAATTTTTGTAAAAAAACATTGTGTTTAATTATATTACTTATATTTTTAATCGTTAAAATATTGTAATAGTACATTTATATTATTCACTATATAAATTCATCAAGATTTTATAGATCTAACCTGAACCTGTTTTTGTAATAAACACAATTTTTAAAATTAATTTAAAATATATTATAGAGTTAATTACATGTTTGTTTTTCAAAATATGTACACAATAAAATATTATATTAAAAAAAAGAGACTTTTGTAACTTTGAATGACGTATAATAAAAAATATATTTAAAAATGAAAATCTTATTTTCTCCAATATGTTATTCTCTTTTGGTTTTATAATAAGCGTTGAATTTTTAAAGTCGAATTGGTCGCATAAAGGTGTTATTTACTATCATCGTATTCCGTGTAATATGTCAAGTATTCGGTAATAATGTGTTTTATTATATTATTATATCATTTATATCAACAAGTTGAAAATACTTAACAAGTTCACCACGAGATTTAATAATGTATGGTATTTGTGACTTGAGAAATCGTCATGGCCAAACCATATAAGTAAATAGAGTGAACAAAAATAAAATTCTGATGACTACACGGTCCACACAGAAAGCACCGTGGTAGTAGAATAGAGAACGTCACCAGCCAAATAAATTGTTTGTAAAATTAAGTCCAATAAAACCATGTCAAATATTTCGAAAATATTTTAAATATTTTATATTAGTTTATAATAATATAATATGGTCCGTGCCGTTTACGGTTCAGTGCATTATGTTATCGTCTACAGCCGAAATACGTTACATGCTAATAATAATTGTGTTTACGATTTCACGATCAAATAATACGTCGTCCGTCCTTTTCGCAGTGAAATTGGAAATCGACACGACCGCGGACGAACGGAACCAGACCAACTCCAACTCGCTGGACGTGAGGCCCAAGGGCGGCGCCCGGAACGCCGACGGCACCAACCACATGGGCGTGGACACCGAGGAAATCCGCGAGGAGCTCAAGTACACGCTGCTGGAGACCAACGCCGGCCGCACTCTGATGTCGCACTACGCCGTGGCCACGGTGGCCTTGCTGTTGGTGGCCATCGCGCGCGGCGCGATGATGGACGTCTGAAGAACCAGCCCGTCCGCCCGCCGTCACACACAACTAACCGCTCTAACCTTATTAACTTTTCTTTTCTTTTTTTCGTGATTTATATTATATATTTTATTTTATCTATAATTATTATTATTATTATTATAAGTCATATGATATTTATACTAAACATAATATTATATACAACATCGCCTCTATTACCGCGCTCAAAACAATAACCGTTTGAAGCCTATTCAAAGGACAACAACATTTTTGTGTACTTACATTTTTTTTTTTTTTTATTATTTATTTATTTCCCGCCCCGCCCAGTAAGCTTGTGTGGGTGAGAATTTGTGGAATTTTTAAGAATCTCCTCTACTCCGAGAAAACTAGATTATGTTCTTTCTTTAAATATTCATAAAATATTTTAAATTGTATATATCCTAATAGAAATATGACGTAGCATGTCCGTCATCAATCTTCCGTTTAAACACAACATACTTCAACCGCAGACTTACTAACTATAAATTATTGCACCTCAGCCCATTATCATTGAAAATTTCTCAGAATGCTTCCGATATCATCAAACAATCGTAAAATAATACGTTTTCGAAATAAATTCATAACATGGTGTTTTGAAAAACCATTATATATTATATAGTTACATAATAATTATACAACTTATTATATTATTAAACTTTACTCTTCTAATTAGTTATATTTGAACGGTTATGTTGATGATGAAAAAGGCTTTTTAATAAAAATAAAAAAAATAACGATAACCTAATAAAACAACATCTAATATTTTTTTAAATAAAAAACTCACTCTCCCAAAATAAAAAAATTATATATTTACTACACTATATTTATGTTCTATTGTATACAAAAATTAATTAATTAATTTAAGTTTTTCAAATATAAATATAAATTAAGAATATATTTTAATTAGGCCGTAAAATTTAAAAAATAAATCCTGAATCCACCAAATAAAATAAAAAAAAGTTTTTATGTATGTAAATATAAAATAAAACAAAAAAATTAACTGAGCTTTAATGAAAACATAAAAAATGCCTTTAAAATTAAAAAAGTCAAAAAAATATGAAATAAAATTTACAATTTTATAAACTCTGATTTATAAACCTGATTATACACTTTGAATGCCATGCCTTTCAGATCATAACTAAAAAAAAGTGCAAAATGCTATTTTATCCTAGCCAATAGCCTTGATTATGAATATAATCATCATGAGCTTAAAATATTATTTAGAATAGACTTAATAAATAATCGGCACAAACGGTCGTTGTTTTGGTATTTAGTTTTTAATCATTTAAATAATGTTTATTTTGCTTTATAATTATTTATTATATGATTTGCTCATAAAATAAATTGTGTTCTTATAAACTTGTAGATGAAAATTTTTGTTAACACATTCATTAACCATCATTATTCATTAAACTTTTGTTTTAATACTATGAATAACGTCTCGCATTGTTTATAATTTATCTTAATTAGTAATGAAACTATAATGATTTATTATTAAACTAGAGTAGGCCTTCATAATAAGGTGCATAATATAATATTTAACATATATATTACTTGGATAAATGATTATTCCCCGAAAGTGTGAATTTTTTTCTATGATATTTTATTTATTGCTATCTGAACTAAGTGTATTTTCATTTTTTAATAACTGTGATAATTTTAGTTTTATTATTAATATTAAAACAAAATAACTATGCATTATGATTTATAGAAATATATACGTTTATGTCTAACGTTAATGTGTAATATAATAATAGTTGTAAGGCGGTCATGATTTTTTCAAATGATAAAATCATTCTTTTTGTAATGTAAACAATATAATAAACACGATTAATTTTCTAATCTGTATAATATTAGAATTAGATTAACTAATCAAATATAAAAACACGGTTTCATTAAAAATTTAGTACTTCTAAATTACTAATAACTTGTAACAATTTATTTAATGTTTGCCCTTTTTTACATAGTAACACTTTAAGATTTGAAAATATATATATATTAATATTTTATAAACAAATAGTTAAATATGAGCATCAAATTACTTTTGTCTACCGAATACTACATATTATTATGATTTATATGCCAACAAAATCATGTATAAAAATTCATAATTCATATAATATTAATGTTTAAGTATGATTACTTTGAATTTTATGTTTAAATTTAATGTTATACATTTTTATTTTATAGTTCAGTTATGAATTCTACACTGAAACGACTAAAAGTGTGAAAGTATAGTTATTAACATAATACTTATTGTGATATATTATGGCGTATCAAATATTGAATAGTCTGTAATAAGTGATAAAATCGATAAAGATAACTTATAATTAGTCATTAATAATTTTCATAGTATTGGCTAGTTACTACTTATCACCACATATTTTATCTTAAAAAACGAGATGAAATCTAGCCCGTAAGTCATCTCCGTTTAATTATAAAAACAGTTCGATAATTAATTACCAAACGTTACTCCAGGTTCCAGTGATTCCAGTCAAAGTTATCAACACATTAAAAATCTATAATTTTCCAAATATCATCTCGAAAATCCAATATGCTGTTTGAAACGTCAATGGTGCAGAAAGAAACTTACTCAAATAAGTCTTTAAAATTATAATCATGTTGAGTTCCATCACTGGATGATGTCTCGTTTTATATAATTCATGTGAATACTTATATTTATTATTTACTATTGTGTAATCATATTTGAATATTATGCTTCACTAGCACAGATAATAGCTATTTTTCAAAGAACAAAGTCCCAATATGTCATTAAAATTGCCTATACCGAAACACCTTAAAAAGCTAGCGTATGGCATTGTTCACGATACGGTCTATAATGTTAATATATTTAATATTTATATAACAATAAATTCTAGTTTGATTATTCGGGTTTTTTTTTCAAGTACACAGATTTACAGAAGCTTAAAGTATATAATAATAAATCAGACATATATAATATGATAATATGTATAATAGTGTTAATACGCGAAGTGTAAATCAACAACTAACTGTTCTACTAGCTACTACATAAGTAATAATGTTTTATTATATAAAAACGTGTATTCAGCGTCTGTTGTATTACATACAACGTGAATATTTTACTTATTAGTTATTAACTACACAATATGATATTATAGAGTGTGTTGTTTATAATTCCAAAAACTTTAAATATAGCGAATAGGAAAAAAATTGTTGATTAAAATAAATTGAAAATCTTATTTTACCATTAATTATTACCGATTGGTCAAGTAGGTAATAGATAATCAGATAATGAAGATTGCATTCTAGGAATTTATCATTATCGGTTGACCTTATAAGGCCTCTTTCATGCGAAGCCACCAGAACAGCGCCACCACAAGATATTAATAATTAAATTCGGGGTTTTCACACACGGTGGTACCACCAAGTTGGCCTACGTCATTCGTAGATGTTTGTGCGACCAAACTAATAGCCGGAATTTGAATATCGTATGATGTTAATACAAAAGTCTATATTACGATGTAGAAACATCACAGTCAAGCATTACTTTATATTTTATTTCTTATAGTTATACGCTATTGATTTTACAAATAATGTATATTGGAATATTTTTCTCCTTTTATACTGATCAATTAAATACTGATTTTTTTTTTCGTTTTGAAGTTTGGTTTCGCGGTGTTTTCTGTTCACCGACCTAATATCTCTACATAAAATGAAAAACAATGAGTACGTTATATTATACTCGAATAAATTATTTTAAAATATATATTATATTTTCATATTATTATTACGACTATTATTCAATGGCATTATTGATTATTAAATTATCAGAAGCCAATAACCATACGCGAATACATAAATTCACGGATACATGTGATATAGTAATTCACGGATTTACGTAAATAATATTATAAATTTACTGAAAATTTTAAGCAACGGGTCTTATAAATCGAACCTTGGCTATCTTGTCGTATGCGTTCTACCGTAGATCGCGATCTACCTGCAATTACGGCACGCTTGTCGTATGCGATCTACTACCCAATTTATTTTTACTATCGTGACTTAATGCTAATAAAGATTATCACTCTCTTTTACTGCATGATATAATTTTTGATCGTGTATTTAGTCATTGGCCGACAGTTCTTGGGTTTACACGGTTTTTATTTTAACTTTTCAATATGCTTGCAAAAGAATTTTGTACCACAATTCGAAACGAAGAATCAGCTACTAATTTTTTAATTTCTAAAAATCTTTTGGTAAATGTAGAAACTATATTGTGCGATAAATGTAGTAGTAAAATGAAGTATTACATAAAAAAATAACGCGGAAAAGAAAGGAAATTGTTGAAGGGTGTCAAACCACTCAAAGTATAAGGTAAGATACTATTTAATATTTCATATGTATAATATTAATTACCTACGTATATATATTTAGAAAGAACAATAGTTTTTGGACATACTTATTTGTATATAAAATTAATGCTTGTACCTATCATCTGTGTATGTATATATATATATATATATATGGTGTAATAAAAATAATAATTACTTATATTACTTACAATTAGAATGGTAAAAACGGTAGAGTGCAATCAAACGGTAGAGCGCATACAACAAGATAGCCCGAACCTTTATTTTTTTCATATGAATACGGTGAAAACGTGTACACGTGAAATAACGATCACTAGTAATTACCGATCAGCGAGAATACAACTTTTCTGATTTTGTCAATTTATTTTTCATCCAAGTTTTTTCTTTTCGTTATGAAAAGAACATAATATGTGCGATCAGAAACAGTAAGCTATTTGAAGTTTGAAGTAATATAATATGTTTAATATCTAATTTCCAATTATATAGGTACCTAATATAGATATGTTTAAAAATGTATTTTTTTTCTCAAAATATTATATCGTTTTTTTTGTTTTTGTTTTTAGCTAAAATTCAATTATACCGTTTGCAGTGTAATTCACTAAGCTTGTTCACCCCCTATTTTTTATTTTGTTATTAAGTTATTCAAATTATAATTTTTAAAATTTTTAAGTATATTTCAAGACCACATTTTATTAATTCTTGAGACTTTTTGTATCACTTAAATAGTGTTCTTTAGTGACATAAAATATTGTTTTTTTAAATTCCATTTTTTTTACTATACATTTTTAGTGAATAATTTTTTTTTTTTTTTTGATATCCTAAGTTTAAAATTGGGATTAGCAATTTTACAGTTATTAAAATGTTTTATTTAGGATAATAATTTTAAAAATATTTTATATGCAACAGAAATTTAATATACAATAGTATATATTATTATTAACACTTGGAGCATTTTATGAATTATAAATTATAAAATATATTGTTAGATTTATATAATTAATATAGTTTTCAAATTACTATATTATATGCCCACATGGCCGCATATCTATCAAACTTATTATGAACCGATTATCCTTTGTACATAAATTAAGTTATTCATAAACTACTCGTTCAAAATTTTAATAACAGAAATTAATCTTTATATATTAAAAAGTTTCAAAAATCAGGTTATGAATAACTGCATCATTGATAAAAATTGAAGCTTCATTATCATTTGAATGAAATCATATTTTATTGAACACAGTAAAATAAACGTATTCTATAAAGACTTTAAACCTTTCTTACAAAATTATAGGTACCAATATATGTAAGTTATTTAATACAACTTACTTATTTTTTGTGTAAAATAATAAACGAGGTTAGGTAATTAGTTTAACAACAATAAGAAATCACTATACACATTGAAATTAAGATTAATGTACCTATAGGTACTTTTTTAATTTAATAATCACGTAAGTATAAATTACATTTAAAAAATATTAAAAGTAATCAACAGTTTTCTAAAGATATTAAAAGAAATTACGAACACTTATCGTTCTCACGGGTACGATATAATATTACGTATAATAATATTAATATTTAATAATAATAAGTACATATTGCATAGTCAATTTATTGTTACATTGATGGTTTAAGAGTTAAACTTAATATTTTGCATACGACGATATTCGAAACGATGAATACATGGAAGGCTTGATTTGTCCATAAATATATATATAAATAAATAAATAAATAAATAAATAAATAAATAAATAATAAATTAATTAGTCGTGGCGACCACGCATACAATAATGATTATTATTGATATATTGTCATAATGTTTTTTTTGGAAGTATCTAGTACCCCCCCTCTCACAGGCGTAGCCCAAATTTCGATGTTGTCGACGTGCTTTGTGCTACAAAATTATCGGTTATTGGATTTGGCCCGAATACGCGGCGAGGTGCGCGTCGATGCTGCGGCGGTAATGGCCGTGACCGGACGGCGCCGCCTCGACGACGTGCTCGTGTCCGCCGCTCATCTGCTGCTGCATCATAAGTTTTTTGAGCACCATAATACCGGACAGGAGCAGGGCGATTTTACTCAGCAACAGCGCCTTGCCGGCCATCAGGGCGATGATCTTCAGCGCCATAGGGCCCATGACGCCGGCCATCATCATGCCGGCCATCATCATGGCCTGTTTCATGGCCTTGTCCTTCTTCTTGCGACCTGCCGGGAAACACACGAATCATTAGGTCATGTCGAATTATAATATTACTGACGATATATTGATATCGATGGTACAACGTAAGGCTGGCAATGGTAAATGGACTAAAAAAGTAGGCCCAAATAATGATTTTTAAACATAAAAATATTCAGTATAATGTAAAATATTCATTTATTACTTATAATATTTTCTTAATAAATTTCGTGTCTAATACGAATACAATTTCGTGTCTTCTAATGAACTTTCGGTGTAGAAGATTATTATTCTCGTTTAATTTGTCGTCGTCATCCGTTATCTCGATTACAGTAAAAAAAAAAAACCAAATAAATGAAATAAATACCCTGAAACACCTACTCTCAATAATGAAAAATATGACTTTAAAATTCTAAATTGTTAAAAATGAAGAATAAAAAATTCCTATTTTGATTTAAAAATATATGAAAGGTATATTATATAGTCTTAAGGGTAAGAAGTGTCATCATATAATTTGCTAAGACAATTAAATTTAATTATGTTAATGTTAGAAATGAGCTGCAGTAGGCATTTGAAAAATATTTTGTATTTTATGTTAAAGTTCTTTGTGATTGAGTTTTTTATATTTCGCATGTAAAGCGGTGGTCATACATTAAGCCGCATAGAAAAATAAAATCAAACCGTTTCAACAATGATTTTACAAGCAAACGGTCGTGCCTAGTAAAATTGTAGGATTTTTATCATTTTTTTTTTTTTATTTTAATAATTTTTTGAAAAAAAAAATTGTATGTATGTCTCACGAAATTTTGATTTTTAAATTAACTCAAGAAAATTATAATTCAAAAGTACTTGAAAATGTATGATATAAGTAGGTTTAGTCTGAAAATGTTTACTAGAACTTCTTTGAATAGAGTTTAAAATCTGAGTCCCGCTCGACTTGCATAAAAGTTATCGAAACCTGGCTATTTCATGAAGTATTAGTATTTTTATGAGCTAAGTTTTTGTAATAAAAATGCATCGGTCCGACACCTTTAAAGATTTATTTTATATTTTTTTAAAGTTTTTCAAATACATTTTACAGATAAATCTTTCTACTAGATAATATAAAAAATATAAATAAACATATTATTAAATATTATGTTTTTTACATTACTTGAAAGTTAAAAGTAAAAAAAAAACTAACATTTAATGAAATCATAAAAACATAAAACATAATATCAAATTTCTCTCAGCAGCTCCAATTATATACTCCTACATTTTAATTTTAATACATTTTATAAATTGTTATTACTTATTAGTTATTAGTGTTATTACTGTTTTACCGAGATAATTAGGTCGTACTATCTCGCTTAAGTTTAATAATAGGTCCCATTCACTTTAATGTTTAATGTAATTATATACAAAATTGAAAATGGTGAACAAAAATTTGCAAGCATATCAAAAAACGGAGGTATTTTACACGAGAGTGGCGTTCTTTATCCATAAGGTTCTAATTATATTAATAACGATAATTCAATGAATAATGAATATATTATCGGTGTAGGTATTAGATTCCCAGTAATAGCGAGTGAAATCAAAAAATTAAGTTAATTATAATATTATTTTCGTCGTAATGGCATTTATGATGCGTTTAATTTTCTGGCTAATTAATGATAAATAATAATAAAATAGTCAAAACGGCGAACCAAATATTATTATTATTATTCACTATTAATAGCTGTTAAGACTCTTGGTATTGTAGCCCGTGCTTTTGTCTGTATTTAAAATCGTTTTTCTAAGATTTACGAGTGTGAGCATGAAGAAGGCCCTTACACGCTGAGAAAATAGTTCGCGAGCGGATGCGATTTTAAATCGCCGCAAATGTTCGCCCAAAATTAAGCATGTGCGATCGATCGCGGACGATGCCGGATATTATTCGCTTGCTTTACATAGTGTGTATAGTCTAATTTAATACAAGCTGTTTAATTTTAAACGAACGTTAGCGGCAATTTAAAATCGCGTCCGCGCGTGAACTATTCGTCTAGTGTGTAAAAGTAAAGCCCTTTAAGACTTAAGAATACGCTATACCCGTATTTTGTATCAAAAATAATGTGAGATCGTCGTAGTCCATGAAGAGATTAATCATCGTGGATTCGTAGACCACATACATAAGAAATATTCTGATTCAAAGATGATAATAATTAATTTTTACCGTATTGAGGCGTATATTTTCCTAAAATTATTTGTGAATAAGATTTTTCTCGTATATTATCTTTTGCGAAAAGAATCAGTTTATAATATTTATAATAAATAACAATTTTCAATACGCGTTCAGCTGCCTATTGCCACATAAATACCGTAAAATAAAATCTAATTAATGGAAAATACCTATATAATCCACTATTTAAATTTTACTAAGTAACACTATGCTTTATTGGAATTAAGATATTTATAATTTAAATGTTTAAAATTATATTATTATTCTTTACTACCTACAAAATTATATTTTTTCTTTTAAATTATACACAAATTGTTAGTATTTATTAAACACTTTTATTATGTTTCTATTTTCAGAAATCAATTTCAACAAAGTTAGTAAAAACTATAGCCATTCGAACAGGCAACAGCACATGCAAGTACTTAGAAATGACTTTTGAGTAATAGCAATTGAACATTTTTAAGTGGTTATAATTTAATAAAAATATTATATACAGGGAAATTTGGAGAAATTTTTGGAAAATCGAGAAGTAGTACATCAGATTTTTCGTCGAAATTCACACAATCAAGACCACGTCATGGCAACGTTATGTAAGTAATAAGTATAGAGCTGCAGTTATAACTTATGTTCAATCACAACATATTATTATAAACTTTACCAGAAAATTATTTGAGAAAGTCCATAATAATATGTATTATATATACCTACCATGTTATATTTTATATTATTTATGGAATCCATAGTAATGTATTATGCTATGCGTCGTGTGTTAAAGAATGTTATACGGTTACATTCGTTTTACTTGTTTACCTAAAAAATGCAACATGATCGGGTTTTATGAAATATTGATGTTGTATTATTAACAATTTTTCTTTACAATTTTACAAGTTCAAGACTGACAGAAATATTAAATTGTTTGCTAGGTTAAAAATTGTTTCATATATTAAGACATGTACAAAATAACTAACAAAATTGATATTGTTTACAAATAAAAACTACGAATTATAATTTTGTAGCACAAAAACGGGGTCTTATTAGGTTTCTTATTTGTAAACTATCAATTTTATCAAGTTATTTAATACATTTTAGGAAATATATATTTATTGAAAAAAATTATGACGAATATTTATTATATCATGCATTAATATTTTTAAATAGTGTATTGTTTTTATGTGAAATAATTTTTAACTTGCCAACATTTGAAATTTATTGTCAGTCATAAGCCTGTAAAATTGAGAAGGAAAATTATTAAAAGGACTACACTAATATTTCATGGAGCACAATCGGTAGGAATGTGGCACCGATATTAAATAATAGTGTTTTTAATCGAAATACATGGAAAATCTAATCCGCGTTCCCAGGTAAAACAGATATAGTAAACTTTAAGAATTAAGTATTCAATTGGAAAATTTCCAGTGCAAATCTCAAAAAAAAAATTTGACATGACCTGAATGTGTTACATTTCGTTCAAGTTACTTTGGTGCACACATTTGTTATGTTGTTCGTTTGTAACTCTGTAAGACAGAACAACACGTCGTGTCTGTCATACATGTTTTTTAAATTGTTCAAAACACGATAATTGTATGCTTAAATATTTTAGCGATTAATATCTCTGTGGGAGATCTAAGTTTTCATATTATAAAACAGCTGGTTACATATCGCTTATTCACCTGTAATTCTAAAATCAAAACTTTCAATTATACTTCAAGTTTAAACTCAATACTACTCAGTTAAAAGGTATGTTTCTGTAAATTTTTAAATAGTTTTACACTCAAATTGATGGAATGACGTCAGATTTAGATTACGAATTTAAATTTGACTCAACATAGTATATTGAATAATATATTAGAAGCATCTAAATAAAATTTATCTTATTAAGTGTTTACAGTTATCTAAAATAATGTTTAATTCAAAGTGATTAGCAATTTACCTACTTACAAATAACGTATAATAATGAAACCATGTGTTTATGCATACTTAAAACTTTTTATTTTTAATTTAATCCAAAAATAATTATTTGTGGAAGTGTTTTTAAAATTCAACCAAATCAAAATTGTTTAGAAACTTTCTTTAGTCACTGATTACTATCTGAACAACTTCATATACCGTGACCCAGCAAACGCTCCGCGTCCTTAGGTGACGTTCTATACTACGAGCGTGCGATACAGAGCGAAAAGGTAAATAACCAACAATCGTTATCATGGTTTGAAATCACATACACAATACAACGACTGAGATTATTGTTGAGAGGTTATTTTTCTATGATTGGACTAGTGATTCTAAAGGAGAATTTGTTCACAAGAATATTCTCGGTAATAATAATTTACTCGGGCAATTTTAATTTTTTTATTTTACCAATTTCAATTATTTAACAATAAAGTAAGTATCATGCATGTGTTATCATTTTTATTTTAAACAATTATATTATACTTTTCACGATTCACGTATTTTTGTTTTAATTAATACATGTAGGCAATACTAAGGCAGTAAGACTAGAAAGTTATAATCAAGTAGTATAACAAATATTTGTTCATATTCATTAAAAGTTATTTATCAAAATTTAGAACTTAATGTATTATGACTTAATAATGAGTTATTAGCTTATGACTTAGTGCAATCCAAATATATTCACAATTTTTAAGAATAGAATACGTTATGATAAGCGTTTAAGATGGTTAATCCTTTTTCGAGTCTTGAAAAAATGAAAATTACCGAATATTTTCCATTTTTGAGACGTTGAATACTAAGCAGTTCTCTTTGTTATACAAACGTACAAGTTTTAACTTTAGATTTTTTTTTTAATTTTAATATTTTAAAGTGATTTATGAATAATTTTAATTTGTCAATTATTTCACTCGTTATTTTGAAATTTATTTTGGGACAATTTAAAAAATGGCGTGAAACTTTAACAATTTATAATATTTAGTACGGTTTTGTAAAAAGGTGTGCGAATGGGTACCTTTATCGTTCAGATTTTTAATGGTTTGTGAAATTTTCAATATTTATACATTAACACTGCGGCACGTAAGATCATGCTATTATTAAATTGCGGTATAAAGGGTAATTTTGTATACCTACTTCGCTATAGGATGAGCATATGTTCCGTTTAAAACAATAAAGTCTCATCTTTTTCGAATCACGTCCCATTGTCCCGATAAACTTCGAACGGGATGCATTTTTTTCGGTTTTAATCCAACTATACCCGAGCGTATCGCATGGCGATTTATGTGAAATAAAAAGACTGTATAAATACACACGATAAATAAAAAAAATAATATTTTTGGTTTTATATCGCATTATTGAATCCAAAGCTTAATATTTTATAAACAACAGTTTTTGTATAACGAGCTAAGAGCTTTAAGTGCCGAGAACAGTATAGTCTACTACAATAAGAATCAAATAGTTGCATATTGTGCTGCTACAGTGTAATTATGAAGCCGTGCGACCTTTTCAATTACACATTTTATAAATTGTAATTATAAAAACTATTAATAATCCAACCACAATCAGCTCATCGGGGACTTTGCCATACCAACTCTACCCGGAAATCCGACCAGACGACTCAAGTGGAACTGGTGCCGAGATTTAAAAATTGTATAAATTGTAAATGTTAATGTCTATATATATATATACTATAGGTGTCTCTAATGTGAGATTTCCTACCATTAGTTCTTAGTTTTTTTAATTTTTACCATAATTATTACGTCTTAATGTACACCTGTATAGATTGAAATATCCCAAAATAAAGTCATATTTTTAAGAAAAAAAAAAAAACTATTAAACACATCTTTTTGGCGCGTCTCAAGTCTTAAAAGAGCCGTTTGCCGAAAAATGTACAGCCAAAATACCCTATCGACATGGAGGACGCGTAAAATGTATAATTGTCGAAACAAGAGGAAGCGCCGCGATCGCTGTGGCCAAGAGAATCGCTAAATAATCGGTTTGGGTCAACCAGCAGTAATATCGCAGCGATACGATGTAGGTGGTAACCATTACCGAGTTAATCTATATATATATATATATATATCAAACGATGACGCTCACCTTCTTGGCCGGCTCCGTCCAGCACGATGGTCCTGGTGGACATGAGCCTGTCCATGCGGCTGGCGAGCATGTCGTCCAGCAGGGCGTTCTTGGCGTCCGCGTCCGGGGCCGCGTCCAGGGCGGCGCGGTCGGCCCGTTCGGCCTGCGGGTCGACGGTCTGCAGCGACTTGCCGGCCCGGGCGGCGAGCGTCACGCCGTCCGCGAGGGTCACGGCGGTCTTGCCGAGGGCCCGGTCCAGTGCCGTCAGCGCTTTGGACTTGAGGCACACCGTGGCCGGTGCGGCCGTGTCGCCGTCGTCGAAGAAACAGTCGTCCAGCACCGACCACAGGACCGCGCCGTATCCCGTCGAGCTAGCGCCGCCGTCCTCTTGCCGTTGCTGTTGTGGCGGCGGCGGCACGGAAGCGGTGGCTATAACGGCCCAGGCGACGCAAACGAACGGCAGAGCGAACACGTAGCGAGTGGACGACATGACAATGTTTTAGTGTTTGAGCGGCGGTCGGTGCAGTGTTGACGTAAGCGTGGCACGGCGGCGGTTGTCTCGTTGCGGCCGTCGTCGGTGCGGATGTGATGGTACGGACGTGGTCGCCGGGCGCTATATATACGAGGCGGCCGCGGTCGGGACCAGGACACCGTGAAAATAATGGCGGACAGACGATAGTTTCACCCGAGGCGGCCGAGACTTATTCGGCGGCGGCGGCGGAGACGACGGTCGTTTTCCCAGCGCACTCGGCCCGCATAGGTACCATGTTTCGCTATTAACTTCATCATGATAATATATTATCATACTCTCTAATATTATTATATAATTATCATTGTTAATATTGTACGCGAAAAACGTGCGCACGCCGTTCCAGTGCGATCCGTTTGACGCGTTATACGCTCGTTTTGCCGGCGAATCATTATTAATATCATTATCTCGGTCCGCGTTTTAATGTTTTTTTTTTTTTTTTTTTTTTTTTAATTGCATTTTTCTTTCTATAAAATCTGTTTCCGCGGATGTCGCGTGCCGCCGGTAAGCTCCGTTATGCCTACTGTTGTTGTACGCGGCAATAACGCGTTGCGTTTTATTTTTGAAATTTTTGGTAGGTATATATTTCACGCGCGACCGACCGATACGTTTTCGCGAGAGAAATACTAGTACCCACACGCACTTCTGACAGGCGTACCTATACACTTGCAGCGTCTCGGGATATATTTGATGCGAGTAAGTCGCGTCCGGAGGATCAAAAACGAGCCTCATCGACCGCTCGCCACCCATTATGCGTTTAGTTTTTATATGTATGTTGTCCTGCAGTTCCGCACCGAAAAACGATCATATTTCGAATGCTCTCTCGTCGCTAACACTAGAATAGTAATATACGGTAGGGCGCGTGTTATCCGTCTTCTTGCACTGTGCAAGGTTGCACAACGCTATAAATGTATATTCAATTGATTCAGCTATTTTAGGACTTGACATTTTAGTACGTTCTAATCAACCTGATCTATTTTACCTGCATGTAGGTACACTCGCAATTTCTCATTAAAAAAAGTTTGATATATTATTATGTTAAATTTAATAAGTATACCTAAATCAGATACTATGTTTATAGTTTCGTATAATACGAAAACATATCAATATATTTATATAATAGGCTTTAAATTATAATTTAAAATTTAAACCAATCACTTTTTTTATTTTTTTATCACTATACGTTTTAACGTTTCCCGTATGTAAATACATAATTACTTGTAATTTCGTTAGGCGATTTCGTTTAAAGTATTTTAACAATAATAAATGCATATATCCAATATCACATTATTTTGCTCAGAAATGAGTTCCTATAACCAGCATTCGGTATCACCCTTTACACGATAATTCATCTATTTACAATCCGGGCAAGCGTGCTTTAAAATAACAATAATGATGTATTGAGTTTTTCTTACAATTTTCATAATTAACACCCAAGCAATATGTCTATTTCATTTTTAAGTGTTTAAAGAATAAACAGAAGTGGATCTCATCGTGATTAAGTTCTTCATATATATCTCACGGCGTAAGTATCTTTAACAAGTAACATCGACAAGAGCCCGGGGCAAAGGTAAAGCCAATTATTTTAAATTTGAAAGTAATAAGTCGACAAATTATCGAATTTAAAAAAACGGATACGATTGGAGCTCATTATAATTAATTAAGATAAAATTAGGTTTTATTAAGATTAAGTGATTGTACAAGATCAAATTTAAAAGTATATCTTGAGACTTTCGATTATAGTTTAAATTAAGAATAAGTAATATAATTTTTAGTCATTCAAATAAAATTTAATTTTTAGAGTTCCGTAAAAAAACGTTTTGAGAATTCTTATATTAAATATTCAAGCCTTCCTAAGCTGTGAAAATTAAAAAATTCTATACATTGTTAGTTGTAAAATGATTTGCATATTTTCGTGGTTTTGACAACATTTTAACTTCTAACATTTATACAAAATTCATGCCGTATTTTTAATATTTTTAAATTTTTAAAGGTAATTTTAGAAGGATTTTTATTAAATTTTCAAGTTTTTAAAAGAGCTTTAAATCCTTTAGCAACATTAATTTAAAAAAAACTAAAATTATTTGTCATTGTTACTATTTCAAAATTTCCAATGCCTATAAATAACTTAAAATTAGTTTAAATATTTTAACATTTATTTGCCTATAAAAATTAATAGTTCAAGTATCTAATAGTAAAATGTTTTAAGTACCTATAATTAATATTTTTTGAATAACAACAAAATAAAATATCTTAGAAGTAGAAACTATTTCTAGAAACTTAAAATTTTCACCAAGTATTTATACTATAATTTTATGTATGTATATGGTTTAATTTTCAAAATATTTTGACTGTTTAAACGATTGAAATGCATAATGTTTAAGTTTTTTTAATGTCAATAGAAATTTTTTTAATCGATCAAAATATTTAAAAACTTTATTAATAGAAATAAAAAAAAGTTTAACATGAATTTGCAAAAAATATTTTAAGCATTTGAAGTTATAATTTTAACAAATTTCATAAAAATTGCGAATATAAGTAAATATTTTGTCGATAAAAATTCGTATAATTTTAATATTGATACCCAAGTTTTAAAAATGTAATACAAAATGTATTATAATTACGTTTTTTACCTATATTAAAAAAAAAAAAAATAAATAGGTTGAGCAATTAATATTCTCAGCAATTCATTTTTCAATATATTTATATTTATTTAGTAGATATAAATAACAATTATTTTATATCTTTATGAGATAAAACTTAAGTTCAAAATCCAATAATATTATACTATATTATTTTGTAAATTAAATTTGAAAATGTTAAAAATTGAGTATAATTATAAAATTTTTATTAGGAGTTTACACTTTTAATACATATTATTAAAATGACTTTTTTTTTATATATTTTTCAATGTAATTAACAGTATTGTGAGTAATAACATTTTATGGCCAGGTATTGAGTTATGCTATTATGGTGTCTTATAGTAAACAATATGGTTTAAGACTTGATATTTTATTTTGAACATGATTTAGTTTATGAATCCATTATCACGATTATATACATTAAGTGATTGTCAGTTATAATTTTAAAAACTTATTGAATTAATTTCTTTTGTAAGTTAAATATATTTTTGAAATTTGTGTGACATTTTAAAAAAGAAGGGGGGAATAAAAAAAAATCTCAAATTTTAGCTTAAAAAAGTGTAATGTAATTTCAATATATAATTATAAATATGCTATTATTTTTATAATTAATATTTGTGTCTATATATTATAGTTAATTAAAATATATTTTAATAAATTTAGAAAAAAAAAATAGAAAATAAAATACATTTATTAATAAATTAAATTATTAGTTAATATTATTTATTCAAATTTCAAGGGGGTAAGCACCCTGTCTTCCCACCAGTATAGGTGCCTATGAACTTCTTTCAAAATTTATTGATTTTCGGATAAAATTACAGATAATAGCTAATTATAACATAATATCACTGTATTGTACCAAGGTGAGAAAAAAGAAACTAACCTAATACACGGATTACAGGTATACTCTCTAAATGATAATTATTATATGTTGTTTTTAAATTAATTAATTATTTAACTTATATTGAGGTTGAGATAAATTTTATTTGTATGAAATTATTTAATAATTGTTTTTATATTTCTCTATGATACTTTTTAATTGGCAGTGTCTAGTAAAATATTTAAAAATTATAACTAATTGGTAACTTAGTAACTTTTTTCAATTCAATATACTTTTTTTGTACTAACTTGTTTATACTAGAAAGTCGAAATAATATTGATTACATTTTTAAGAAAATAAAACAAGTATATTTTAATTGCTAAGCAGGTATTAAATTATTATGAACTCAACAAATATCTAAAGTGGTTGATATAAATGTTTAATATTAAACAAACTAAACCCGGTATTTTCATTTGATGAATGAATATTTTCTTAAATTATAACTTATAAATTTATATTTTAGTGATAGTAATTTAAATACTATCATGTTTGTATGAAAATTAAACAAACATATTACTATAATAGGTATATATAAAAATGTATTGTAGACAGTAGTTTATTTGGTTTATTCAGTAGACTTTGGATACCTTGGTTTTACTTGTTGATATTTCACGACAAACGAAAAACTTTTATACCTATAACTTATCATTTATTATTAGAGTAATATAACATTTCTTTGTGGATTGAGTATATTTTAGTAAGGTGTCCATAAATATTGACTATAAATTAATTTGAAACCTTTTCGAAAGTAATTACTTATTAATTATTATGTTTAAAAACTATATTTCGGTAGTTATCAATAAAAATAAATTAGCTAAATATTATTATAGTATATATTATATAATAGTCAACAAAAATTATTAAATAAACGGCAATAATAGTATACAATGTATTTTATTAAATTAAGATACGTTTGATGTATTTTAATGCACATTTGGCAGCTGCATTTTGAGCTTCTTCCTCTGTTTTTCCAGTACTTAAGCACACCAAAACAGGTGTAGGTGTAAGTGTTGTTATTTCCAAAGACATATAAACTTCATAACTATCTTTTTGATACTGGATGTATGTGGTACCAAAGACTTCTTCATTTGCAAGTTTTGTCAAAAAATCAAAAGCACTCATATTAAGTTCATCCAATGAATTACATTTCTTCAGTTTTTGTACACATTCATTTTTAGATGATAATAATTGGTTAGAGTATAGATTTGTTAGTTTGAAAATATTACACAAATCGATATTTGTCGGTGTTATCATGTCTCCCATAGAGTTATCAGCTGTTTCATGAGTGAAATTTCTACTAGGCGTAGAGGTTTTCTGTTGATTCATATTAATTTGATTAAGCACTAATTGAGCGGCTTGTTTTTTTGCAACTTGCTTGGCATCAGCTAAGCCAGTAGATTTATAGGGCCCAACGGAACATATAACAGAATACAAATACTTTTTGTTTATATTGTCATATTCTTGGTGATATTCATACTTAGGTAGCTCCCTACCACACGCTACGCATATCTCTTGTAATTTACCAATGTAGTTGATAGGCATTTTGGTTTCGTTGCTGTTGATATAGTAGTTTTGGTCCAAAGTCATATTCGCGGTATCATTTATGACTTTATTTATTCTCAAATCGTGCACGGAATCTATCGATTTCTCGCTACTGGCATTCGACGTGCTAGTTCCATTGGTTTTATCTTGATCCATATTAATTTGATTAAACACAATTTGAGCGGTTTGGTTTTTTGCGATTTTCTTTGTTATTCCAGCGCCAATGGATCTATAGGGTCCAATAGAACACGTCGCATAAAACAAACAATTTTTGTTTTTATTGTCATATTCTTGGTGATATTCATATTTAGGCAGCTCCCAACCACGAGCGACGCACATCTCTTGTAGTTTGCCAATATAGTTGATAGGCATACTGATATTGATGCTGTTAACATGGTAGATATGGTCCATAGTTATGTTCTTTGCATCATTTTCGTCTTCACTTTTTGAAAATCTGTATACGGAATCCATCGTTTTTTCGCTTCTAGCATTCGACGTGTTAGTCTTATTGGTTTTATATTGACTTGAATTAATTTGATTTATCGTCAAATAAGCAGCATGATTTTTTGCGGTTTGCTTGGATCTCCTTACGCCTGTGGATTTAAAGGGCCCAGCGGAACATACTACGGTATAAAAATTTTTCTTGTGTTCATTGTCAATATCTAGAAAGTATTCATATTTTGGCAAATTCCAAGCAAGAGTTATACATAACTCTTGTAGTTTACCGATGTAATTGTTGGATTGAATAAATGTAACATTACTCTCTAGACATGATGACTTTGTTGAGTTCAGAAAATAGTTATCTAGTTCAGCGATAGAAGCCAGCTTGTCCAAAAAATTGTTTGCTGCGTCGTTTATTGCTTCATCACTTGACGAACCGCATCCGTAGGTTACGATTTCCCCACATATGGCATTAAACGTAAAGATCTTGTTCGGAAATACACCCGCCGTAGAAACCATATTGTAGTTCACTGATTTACCGTACTTAGCCATAATGTCGTGAAGCCGGGAAACAGCTGGTAAATATCTATTGATGGATTGCAATCTATTGGTTTCGGTTATCGCATCCGTGTGCTGCAGTGGTTCCTGGATTATATTTCTCGAACAACTGTTGCTGCGAGCGGGTCTCATGTCATACGATATTGTACTGTCGTAAACGGTGCAATTTTTTCCGACAGGCGTGGGATTCATAAGTAGGCGAAAGAGAAACTTATCGTTAACGTTTAGTAAAGCGAAGTCTATGTGTCGCAAATTACCGCCTTCGGCGATATTCTCATTAAAGTCAATTAACTTTGCAGATATGATTTAGCTGCATTTTTACGCATAACCATTGATGATACTGAAACAAAATATTGGTAAATGAAATAGACGATAATAAATGTACGTTTTAAGATTATTATTGTTTAAGAATAAATTGTAGATAAAAACGTATGCAATGAAATACACAATCAATCGTTTTTTGGACAAAACCTATGCACGTAATGTTACTGTAGAAACAAGAGTATATATTATATTACCTATAATATAACGGTTGCGTTTGATTATTATGATAACGTGATCTGTCCGACCGGCTGCAGGTAAATGTGAAATATAATATAAAATATTATTATTGTGATTACTAGTGATGTGGATTTTACACATTACTACTGAATAAGTGTGTAGTCATTCGTTGTCGATATTATCGTATACTACAAACCATAGTTTACAAATATTTAATAATATTCGTGCATATAGTGGGTTGGGTTGGTCTGGTTGAAAATATAGTGGGCGAAAGTCTAGTGATCGGAATGTTATGTAATTGAAATATATTGCAGTAGATAAACATAAATTTTGAGCCAAAAATAATATAATAATAAAAAAATTAAAAAACCATACAAATAAAAAATGTTGTTTTAAAAAAAAAATTAACTAATTTATTATTAAGTAAAATAAAAATGTAGTAAAATATTAAAATAATTAGATAAGTATATTTATAAAATTATATGAGTAATTAAAATTTAAAATTTTGAGCTATTCTTCCGAGTACTCTAATAAATCATAACCAGCTAGATCAGCTAAGATCTAAGTCTTTGTTGCACTTTTTTTAAGCGTATATTGTAGAATTATATAGGTACTTGATGATATTTACAATTTTCATATGTCGTAATAATAGTAAGTTTTCATTTTTTTAAATTAAAAATAATTCATCTTTTAGTATTTGGCACATCGTTAGGGCTAGACTTATTTCATTAATAAATGTTTGTTTTTTGTAGGTTTCAATATAGCGTTTTTGACGTTTTACTAATTGTAGAATTGCATTTTTATTCACTTGCAAGGCTACAATTGTTGAACACTCGTTAATAGATTTCTGATAAATCTGTAATGGTTGATCTTCACTTGAACTTGCAATTATTTTAATTTTATTTTTCTTACTTTCAAGCCTATAGATTCGGGAGAATGACAGTGTTGATCTGGAAAAAACATTAAATTTTTATTTAGTTCGTGTTTTTTTTTTTTTTTATTTGTTTCAAAAGTTTGAATTTTGCACCACACTTATTAATACAAATTTAACAAAATACATGTTTCCATCAATTTTATGTACCATATCTCTTTATATATGAAATTATTTATATTTAATAATATTTCTTCATAAGTGCTAGGAAAAATATCAATATTCATAATAAAATATAAAAACTTTATTAAACTAACGTAAAAAAAAAACACTATACGTATACTGAACCAAATGACTAGAACCGATACTGAATTGTCGATAAACATAGTAAAGTACCTACTACGATAATCCTACATACGGGCTACATCTAAAAAAATGGGCGATTGTAAACTCTCCCGATGTTTAAAAATCGGGAGAGTTTACCACCGCCCGTTATAGTCATTATAGATTCCAGATTAGTTTATCTAATATTTTTTTGGGCGGTGGTAAACTCTCTTCTTCGACCGAAAACCCTACTTAGCCACAAAACATTTCGACCATATTAATAAAATATTCGATCGTTTTTCAACTATAAAACGATTCGATCACATGATATTTCGATCATATTTTAACGATCACTAAATCTTTCACCAAATTATTTGCACCGCATATCGATACTACTGTACCGTAAGTTTGTTCTTTGGTACTACTTTGCTTCTATTTAAGCAAAAATGTAAAGAGCATCTAATTAAGGTAAATCTTTCAGCGATATGTAGCCATTGACATATTTAGGAATGGGGTTCCTGGCGGTATTTCATTAAAATGTTAATGCTGTATTTTAATTTCATGTTATTGCGTGATACAGACGTGTGAAAGCGTATTCGCCATAATGACTTCGTGTGTTATGGTTGTTAAAAAGTCGATTATTTCTATAAAATACGTTCTAGATAATTTAAACGAAATTTGTAGAATAATAAAAATTAACAGTTTAAAACAATAATTATTACGATAAAGCAATAACTTACACGGCGTAAAATTACTAGTTTTCATAATCAATTATTAATTATTCCATAGAAGATTTTGTTTAAATATTTTTCAAAGAATTTTAGTATTTTTTTATTGACATTGTAAATAACAAATTCCTTAATATAATAATTAAAATATATTCCACAGTTATATACATATTATATATGTAAAAGTTTATATTTATTTGTTGAACATTTCTTAAAAAGGATGTCTCAGATGTCTGTGCATTATTTATTTTCTCTCACTGACACATGCTCAATATAGAAAATTTGAGTTCAGCAAAACCAACCTTATGATGTTGTTATACAATTAGTCACTTAGAGTAAATCGACTTGTTATCAAACATAAATTTAAGAATATTATCCATTTTTTACAATGTTTCAGTTTATATACAAGGTATGAGTACGTAAATAATTAGAATTTTAAAATGCTTAAATATCTCACTTTTATATTAAGATATTAAGAATAAAGTTTGTATTAACACTAATAATATTATTAATTTTAAGTTTGATAACAGGTCAATTCACTCTTAGTATTAGAATAGGTATTATAGATAAAAGTACAAAGTGTTACCTTCAATAAATATTGTACACTTTTACCATCAGGCAGCCTCTACATGAGGCAGTTGGCCTAGGATGGCAAATTAAATAACACAGAGGTATAATTTACTTCAAAACAGAGATCGAGTGACCAATATTGTGATACGTACAATCAGTATTTACGCACCGTTATGCTACAAATATATATATATATATATATATATATAATAAAGAAACGTAAAAAATACAATACAAATTATAATAATAATAAACAAAAGAGAGGCGCCACAAATATAAAAATAATGAATAAGAAGTTAACTAATATACAAATAAGTAATGATTACTTTACGTGATTGTTATCACTGATATCACGTATCACTGATATCGTCCGGATTGCCCATAATGTTATCTTATGGTCTACCGCTCCGCCGACTGGGTTTCGTGCAGTGTAACCACTGGAGACTAGTTACACTCAGTCATTGGGCGGGGCTGATAATAATGATAAGACCGGGTGCCGAGTGCCAGTTTCTTTATCTCAAAATGTATGTATTTACTAATTTCGTAATTTTTCGTAATAAAAGGAAATAATAATATTAAAGTGTGCAAGATCGACAGTGACGTCCCACACGATAACACAACGAAATCGCAGGCAGTTCAACGATTTGACGCGTTAGGACAAGTGTTCACGATCGTCGATTATCAACTTCACAAAACGGCTGGTACGGCAAATAGCCATAATACCTAACGTATACACGTGCGACGTCTCATATAAAAGTATATGACGGTTGCGAAAAAAGTCTCGCGCGAAAGTGTAACAACCTAAAGGTCAGAGCCCTAGCTCACGAGCATTAAACAAAACGACACACACGGCCAATAGCGAAAACGCACACACGCGTGAGAATATTACTTTCCTATTTTACACACAGCTGTTAACATAATATGCCGACGAGCTTAACGCGTACAAAGGTCGCTGTGCTCGGTCTTGAAATATCGCAATGTAACGGTTAGCATATTATATTGAATCTTGAACAAATGTATAATTAATTATAGTTGGTTAATTTTAATGCAAATTTAGTAAAGTTATTATTATTGCTTGTTTTTATAAACTTAGTGTTGATTTATTTTTGTAGAAGACCGCTCCTGAAATAGTAAAAAATATTATGACCCAAAGCGCCAAATCTTTTAAAATATCTACGATGGAGCGTATATGTATGGAGACCACAAAAATGGAAATTATATTTAATGCTATTGTACGGATGTGGTGTGTTTTTAACTATCATGAGCCTACGAGACTGCAAATAACGATCCGATAGTATTATTAAACGATTTATTTTATTTACATTTAAAACAGTAAGTGTCTCCGATCGTATTTTATTCAACATACATTTTTGATGTTTTTAGAAAAAATATTTTAGGGGTTATATATCACTTGCATCATTCCTCGTTGAAACACTACTGATCCGACAAATCACGTAACAAGGAGTAAATTTATCCTACCAGTCAACATAAATTATCAATTTGTTGATAATGGAAAAGAGCCCTTGAAAAGTGATACCTACCTACAACTAATAACCTTTCATAATGTTAAAAGGTGGAAATAAACATAAATAATAAGTGAATATTGTCCATTGACTTTAAAAATGATTTATTATTGTTGCGGTATAAGAAGGAAATAAGAAAAAAATTCATAAATGCTTAAAAATAAATCGAAAAAAACAATACCATTTAGTTTAATAGTCATTTAGACAAAATAGTACACGATGAATAATTAATAATAGTAAAAAGTATAATATTAGTATCATCAGTTATAAGTACATGAAATAAATAAATAATAAATTAAACCACGTGAGGGTGGCTAGTGTTATTGCTTTTGGTTTGAATACGCCATGTGGTGAGCAGCGTCGTCGAGTTGCATGCTCCGGCCGTGATGAGATGGCGACTCAGTTTCGTGACCACCTCCCTGTTGTGGCTGCATAAGTTTCTTGAGCACCATAATACCGGATAGTACCAATGCGATTTTGCTTAGCAACAGCGCCTTGACTGCGATTAAAGCGATGATTTTTAATGCCATCGGTCCCATTACAGCGGCAGCCGTCATACCGGCCATCATCATAGCTTGTTGCATGGCTTTGTCCTTCTTTTTGCGACCTATATTACGATAAATTAAAACGAACCCTCCGTTATTATTGCGTTGTAAGGAAAACATGTATTACGATGATATATTATAAGCATTGTAGGACCTCATTAAGATTCCTGTTTTCCACAAGTTAAAACGAACAAAGAAAGAACGTACAGAGACGACTTTCGTATAATAATAATATTATGTACATTTTTAATTATGCGTCATAAATGATTAACGAAAACTGAAATCTAGCTATCTAACGCACTAGCTGTCTATCGAAATCCACGGCCAATGGCCATGGTCATGGTCTCGGTCAAAAGACCGCATATTACAGTGAAACGTAGCCCGTAAGTAAGTATATAGGTGATGCAAAGTAAATATAATTTACCCTGTTATCCTCGCAGTTTTTAATTAATGCTTTAATAATATACTTATCGAATATTGTGGGGTTTTATCTATTTTTTTTAAACATTTCCTTACAAATAATAAACATCTAGTGGACATAAAATACTGTAAATTTAAATTAAATGTAGATAGATACATTATTTTTTAAAAGTAATGAAAATTGAATACATGATATATTGATTAAAGCAACATAAGATTATTATTCAATGAAATAATGCTAAAAATTAACAAAACAAAACATTATTTAGTGCTTTAAATTGTAGTTATTTTTTAAACGAAGTTTTATTTTGGAAAAATAGAATTGAAAACAAAATTGAAATATTTTTTATTTTTTCTTCAATGTTAACTATATAAAAAAAATTAAGTTGTGACATTGAGTACGTATTTATATCGGTTCTTCGATAAAACAATAAACTAATAACAATATTGAAAAAGAATAGTTAATTTGTCAAGCATTTTGTATCTCACTGTTATATTTGTAAAATATTAAGTTTAGTATTTTATAAGACACGTTCCCTCCCTCCCAAAGATCACTGCCTCTTCTCATGAGATTATTGTGCCACAATGAACCCCTATCACTGCAGTTTACTATTTAATGTGTGTCTGAAAAGATTGAATTGCGCGCATAACCCTTCGATAATGATTAATTTTATTAATATGTGAATACAAGCGTTGGAAAAAATACGCGCTCTGGAGGTACACACATATTGACATATCTGATATTACACACAGTATTTATATAGGTATGATGATGAGTCGCGGTCCGTCGATCTCGGTATTGACGTACTCGTGCGTTAATAAAACCGCGAGTATGACAGCACAGACTAATAAATGGTTAGGTTAGAATGGAACGGCTATATTTTATCCATCTGAACACGTACTTGCCATACGATAATAGTTATTTAATAACGCACGTCCATGTTAATAGTGCGCGCTAATATGTCAATAATATGTACCAAATAATAATAATAATAATAATAATAATAATGCATTGTCGCCGTGTAAGACTGTACCATGCGGATATATTATCGCCTGTACGCATGTAAGTGACTCGATTTCTAGACGGAACCGCATGAAATGTGGTAAATCGAAATTCAAGTATTTTATCAATTTGGCTAAACCGTCGGACGAACGACTATTTTGACTTAGTCGATTTATATACACACACACATGTGTGTGTTTCTAGAACTTTCAACAAATCGGAGGGGCGTTTAACATCCCCTAGGACCCCTGTAATTCACAGCCATTCTAATCGAAATCGATGTATTTTGACGATCGCGGGAAACGTGGTGTACGAAATGCAACGGAAAACGCCGTGTGCTATAGCCTATAGCCCTACTCGCTTAAATATACTATTCACTATAGCACCGTGTGACCGGTGTTCAGAATTTTCTCGTTATCCCTCAAATAATTCAACTCGCAGGTATATTGTTTATAATTAAAACACGATACAATTCGCCATTTTCAACTAGGCATATTTTATTTATTATGGTACCTAACTGGTAACGTCATGTGTTAACCACCTGTACAGCTATACCTTAAGTTTAAATAGAACGTGGTGATAGTGAAATGGTGATTCTAAGACGGGTTTCCACACTATCACCGTGTCGTCGTGTTCCGTACGTTTAGTATATTATGTACCTGTTCCTATATCACTGACGGCTAATTAAACGTTGGTTTTACGCGTTATCAACAAGGTAAAAATATTAAATTCGACTCTAAACGCGACACCGTTGCAAAAATGCGGGAAACCCGTCTCGAACGACTTAAATATTTTTTTCGCGCGATGTACGTTTCGACGTTTTTAGCTTAAATCGCGTTCGCTCACCTTCTTGGCCGGCTCCGTCCAGCACGATGGTCCTGGTGGACATGAGACTGTCCATGCGGTTGGCGAGCATGTCGTCCAGCAGGGCGTTCTTGGCGTCCGCGTCCGGGGCAGCGTCCAAGGCGGCGCGGTCGGCCCGTTCGGCCTGCGGGTCGACGGCCTGCAGCGACTTGCCGGCCCGGGCGGCGAGCGTCACGCCGTCCGCTAGGGTCACGGCGGGCTTGCTGAGGGCTCGGTCCAAGGCCGTCAGGGCTTTGGACTTGAGGCACACGGTGGCCGGTGTGGTCGTATCGTCGTCGCCGAAGAAACAGTCGTCCAGCACCGACCACAGGACCACGCCGAATCCGTCCTCTTGCCGTTGTTGTTGCGGTGGTTGTTGCGCCGCAGGCACGGAAGCGGCGGAAACGAAAGCGGCCAGCGAGACGCAAGTAAACGAAATCGTGACAAGAGAAAACATTGTTTTTGGTTTTTTTTTTCTCGAATAAAACACTGTAAGTATTATGATAATAATAATAAAAATAAAACAAATTTACTGTCTTTCGTTGGACGAAGACCGTGCGCGACGATTTTTTACGAATACCGCGGTTGTGGTATTTATAATATATAGGTATACAAATAAAACGTACAAATAGTAAAAATATTATTTGGTCACGTGCGGACTCGACAGTCGTCAGTGTAGATGTGATGGTTCTAATCGGACACCGAGAACTTATATACACACTTGTCTATCGTTTGGTCAGAGTACCGTGAAAATAATGGATGAGTTTCAACGGATTCACCGGCGGCTGATGCAGACGTGTATCTAATATCTATACTGTCCCTGTTCGCTCCGCAGCGGGAATATTGCACGCGTTTAACCGTGACCATCCGATACGTTTTCTGGTTTTCACATAGGCATACATATACGTGAACGGACGAGGATTTATATGATGTTATAATAGTCGAGTTATTATCAACAACTGCATAATATTGTATTTTGTTCCAGCACGGTTCGCCATACACTATAACGAAGAATTCATTAAATGTTTCCCTATTTTTCTTTTGACAGTTAAAATGTATAAAAAATATAGTATAATAATATTTTATGATATGTAGGTATCGTTTAAAAATATATAACTGTTATTATATTTGACAAATATAACATTTGTCAATCGATATTCCTGTAGAGGTAGATATAGTAAATCGTATTAATATTCATATGCATTTTAGATGCCGAGCAGAATAGTGAATATATTTTTATTTTCAACTTAATGTGTGTTTTCTGGTAGCTATTTGGAACCAGTTGGTACTTTAGGGGGAGGGTTGAGGGTCAAAAGTAAAGTATTCCAGTATTTTTCTTAATAATTGGTAAAAACAAAAAATAAATAAAGAAAACCGAGAATTTTTACGTCAAACTAGTTTTTGACTAAATTGATTTCTTTATTCTGTTTTAATTTGTTAATAATCGCAGAAATTCAAAACTTTCACTAAATATTTAAATTATTATTATTTCTTATACGTAGTTTAATCTTCAAAAAATTGATTCTTATTGAGTTATTTATAAACATGAGACATTTTTGATTTTTTAGTTTTTTCTGTAAATATTTATAAAAAAATATTTATCGAGTCGAAATTCTTGATAATTTAGTAAAATAAGATCCTACAAACTTATTTTTATTGGAACCAAAATATTTAAAAACGTATAAACACAAATCTATTATAGAGGAATAATTGTTTGAATAAAAAAATTGTGTTTTTATCAATAAATCATCATTACAGTATTAATTTACTATATTAGACTTTAATATATACATTTCTTTTTTTTTTATTAATCGTTCAATGATTCCCACCATGTTATAATAAATATGTTTTGAATTTAATCAAACAGAATTTTAAATATTGATTGATATATTTAAGAATTCGTATTTTACTACCGGACCATAGATAAATTAAATAGTATAAATATATTATTCTTAAACATTCAGTTTCCCATACACTTAAAATTACATAGAATAGCAGCATAACAAAATTGGACGTTTCGTTGTAGAGCACTTTAGTTAAGAAATGTTTGTATAGTCAACGTTAAGATCATCATATGTTTATAGTTAAATGTTTATAAAAAAAAATTGTATATACTTAAAAGAACGTTGTATTAGAAGTTAGAATTTCATTTCTTAGCTAAATTGAACATTTCATAAATTTTTAACTACAAAATAATTTATAATTTTTTTGATGTTGATAGATTTTGTCAAAATTTGAATTTTAAATGCCTATACAAAAAAAAAAAAATTGTACCTACATATAATACTTTTTAAACTGTTATTATTAAAACTGTCAAAGAAACTTGTAAACAATTTTCAAGCATTTCAACCCAACAAAAATTGTTCGTTTATGTGTCATGTTTATGTTTATATGTATAAGTACTCTAAACGCTCATAAAAATTAATTTGAATTTTCAATAAACTTTTGTTTTAGTAGAGTAAACAAACTTTGGAGAAATCTTGTATTAAATTTTCATAATTTAGTTTTCATAAAAAGAAAAGGTAAATGCTCGTATTGCTCAATTTTTTTTTTAAATGCATTCACAACAACTTAAAAGGAACCTTGAATTGAATTTTCAAGATTTTCAATAGAGTGAAAAATTATTTATCGACAATAATTTATTGATTTTTTTAAATTTTTTATTATATTTTTTTGTGATCAACCGGAAAGTATAAGGCAGCAGAAGAATAGTAGAATTTCTCTGATATGTTTGTGACCTCTCATAGACAAAAATTTTTTTTATTTCTAATATGACTTAAATTAAAAAGTATCAAAATAATTTATTTTGGAAACTATAATAAACGCATATTTTAATGAAATTCATGTTTTTCATGAAATAAAACTTATGACCGCGATTATAATTTAAAATTAATACATTTTAATATGCTATAAATAACAAACTAATCTTGGACATTACATGGTATTTATTTCGGTTTTATTATTCTTATGCAGATACGCTAGAATTATTTTGATTTTAGTAATATAAAAATAATTATATCACTTAACGGTTTTCTTAATAATATTGAGTATAAATAACATGATTTATTTCTCACCTTTTTTTTCTATTTCATAAGATGGAAATTTCACATAACTACCCATAATATGTCATAACCGGACAAACTTTGCACCACGACTATTGTCATTTATCATAGTCCAAATATTATAGATTTATGTGAGGTATCTCTTGGCTATAATATCTATTTTGCATTAGTTGTTAAATTTTACAGATTTTACTTTTTATAAACATAATTTCAAGTTGTAAGTAAATTTACTTTAATTAAGATAAAAAAAAAAAACCATGATTATCCAAACTTAAACTTTCACTCGTTTCTAAACAATGAGCAAAATATGAAAAAATGGATTATTCATTCCTATAAATATTTATTATTTACATGTTTTATGTTACATTTTTCTAATCTTGAACAAGTAATGAATATTATTATAGTTAATCATAAATATTATATGACTAGTGATAGTAATATTTTTACTACATTATTATTATTTTTACTATATTTTTAATATATTACTATTATTTTTACTATATTTTTAATATATTTTTTTTGTTGAATTAAGGAAACATTGGTCTCGACTTTTTAAGTTCAAAAGTCTTTGGCAGCAGTATGTGCGTGGTGACCATTTCGAACGTAAACTTAAAAGTAAAAAGTAAAGTGCTAACATTAGTTTCACAGTTCTACAATCTGTTCCTAAAAATACCATAATGTTTTTTCTGAAAGTATTTTTTTCTGTAACATAACATAACATCAATATTTTATTAACAATGTGTGATCTTGTTGATAATTTCAGAATCTTTGGATTATAATTATTTACCAGCCTATGATTTATACTTAGCATATTAGTCGTTGTGAGTGACCATATTATTTATAATTAATGGTATATCTATACAACTATCAATACACGTAGTCATGTCAAAAGTTGTATTATTTTATTATAGTACGATTGGTACGTACGTACTATATGTCTATATACTATATTATATAGTTACGACAGCGTAACACGATAGTATATAATTATAATACGTATAGTAACCGAAAATGTATTATCTTATTAGTTATTACTTATAACTTATTAATCTAAAAAATAAATAAAAATCATTAATCGCATTTGTTATTGTAGTAGGGCCGTAAGGGTAAATTCGGTCTAATATAACCATCATATATGATATATGGAACTAACAATTAGACTTTTAAAATATACTTTCCTCTATCAATTTGTGTTTACATACTTGTTTTGTTTACCAAAATCAGTTAAATAATACGATTTATATCGTAATATTATACAAATAAAATATACGAAAGTTTATTTATTCGTATCATATATAATGACATGAATTGCATGATGCTTACAGGTGATTGCAGTGTTATGGTAAATATAATATCAATGTTTTGGACAAATTCAACACATAAAATATTATGTTTCAGTTTTTTTTTATTCGTTTAGACATCCACAGTAATTACTGTTGAAAAAAAAATCGTTTATTTTATTGGAAATTTACAATTTATACAAGGTACAATAAGCAAATAAGTGGTAATACGATGTGAAACGCTGAAAAAAAGTATTGAGTAGAATACCCAATAATATAATAATAGAAACTCCTGAACATAAGTAGTAATTTAGGAAGAAATACACGTTAATTTTGGTAAACATCGAAAAGATTTCTAGGGTATTCGCATTTCAGGCGTCTGGCTGGATTGTTCGGAAGAGTATTGGAATGAAGTTGAATGGTGTTCTATATTTGATTGTAGGCGTATGTAGTATGTGTTAATTGTTTGCCATATGATAGGTATTTGAAAGTCAGTATGCAAAGTGATATTTGTAACATATCAATAGGGGCTTTAGCGATCATTCAGAGGCAGCTGATGATTTGGAACACTTGAATAGTTCTGGTGTTTGATTGTTTGGCAGTACTTTATTATAGATGGTGATTTCGTATGACCAGATAGGTTATTTATTTAAATTATTATTTTTAACTAAATTTAAAAGACTGCGACTTTAGTTTCCGAAGTTCTACAAAATTATAGTGATTATAGTTTAAATATATTTCTAACCATTTCAAATTGCAATAATACACATTTGAACGCATTGGATTTTATCTCAAAATTTGCGTGTTTTCTTTTTTTTTTTCTCAAAAATTAAGGTGATCATTTAAATTTGTTTTCTCTAAGTTATTTAATTGATTCAAAATTGGTTGTGATTAATATACTTAATCGTATAAAAATTATTGAAATACTTCAATTGTGATGTTAGATTTTTTAGAACAACTGCATAACTTAAGGATTTTAAAATTAAAATTATTTTTTATAAAGATATTTTCTCGTGTTATGTATACGTAAACCTCCTCATCATCATTATTACTTGTTGTGCTTAATTATATAGTTGTATATTTCGTTTAAAATAAATAAAAAAAAGAAAAGATATTTTCTTCTCAAAATCGGTATTCAAAAGAAAAATTATCACTGCTTTCAAATTTTTAATAATGTATGTATTTAATACACCGGCTACCACTGAATGATGAGCGAAGCAAGATGTACTTATGATAAAAATCATTGACCGTACTTAGTTCGTAATACTTTTTTTTTAATTTTTGGTATAAGAACAGAATAAAATTTAAAATAATGTATCTACAATG